TTAATGTGGTTAGGCACTCGGAAGTGATGTCCATTAGTCACAAGTGACAAGGCAGGTGAAGAAAATGCATCCAGCTGTGATTAAAAAAATCTTGTTGCAAATGAAGAGAAACGTGAGCTGGGGAGTCCTAATGGAAAACAAAACTCCAGAGGGATCAAAAGTTCACCGCTCATGGACACGTGTCCTTAAAATGCTCGTGTGGACATAAAATCTGCAAAAGGGTCGAATGTGTGACTGTGATGAAGTGGAAGTGCCGCTGTGACTGACAGACACACGAATACAACGCAGCGGTGTACAACACCCCGTCACAAACTGGGTTTACAGCTAAACTCGTCGTTTGTCGCCAACACAACAGGAATATGACTTACTCAGTCACAGCGCTCACATCCAAACATTATTAATTATGGATCCTTCTAGCTGCAAGGATCTGATGCATGCTCACAACTTTCTGCACAAACGAGACACATGACACATTCACAGCGAACAACAAAGAGTATTACGAGGCGGTTTCATGCAAAGGCTCTGGAATGTTTGTGATGAGTGTTTTTGACGAAATAAAACATCTAAAACATCTGAGTTAAGAAACATTTGCATTCAAGCAGGGATGGCCGCATCGTTGCGTTTGTAGGACAGACAGGAGCGGTCCTGTGTTAAATTAGAACTCAGAAACTACAAATAATCTTTTTCTGGACCTTGACAATTGATCGAGCTTCTGCTCCAGATCCAGATTGATGGCAACCTGTTGTCTGTCAGAATTTGGCCTCCTTCCTCTTGAGGATTGGGAATTTCTCAGTGGGAATAAGGTCTGAGGAGTTTCCTGTTCCCAACTTGATGTTACGGTCCTGATCCACTTAGCTCTGATTTCATCCTTCTGGCCTGGTGCTCCTTCATGCTGGAGAGGACATGGTTCCTCACCAAACTGTTGTTGGATCGATGGAGGAGTTCCTCTGGGAGGATGTTTAGGTACCATTCTTTAGTCATGGCTGTTTTGAGGCTAAACCAGAACCAAACCCCATCTCCTGGACATTCTAAAAACATTTGGCCACAAATGTGGTGCGAGATGGAATTAGGCACCAGAGTCCACTAAAGGCGTTGTGACCTTTTATATGAAACACCAGTAGTTATGTAGGCTTCTCAGACTAGCCCTGTCCCTCACTCTCTCTCTATTTAAGTTATTACTCAAAGTCCATTTTTAAGATCTGGCATTTCCGCACCTATTTTATTGTTGCTATGGGCTTTACCGACTATGTTTTATGCTTTTTTATGTTTTTAACGTTGATTATGCTTGTATTGTTATGTCTTCTGCTCACCTCTTCTCTGGCTAACATCTCATCCCTCAAACAGGAGCGCCAGAGCTTTTCCCCCCGCAGAGATCGACTCACAAAGCATTCATTTATATTACTGTGGCAGAAGAGTTAAGTGCCCACTTTGTAATCGGAGGGTTGCAGGTTCAAACCCTGCTCAGTCAGTCACAGTGGTGTCCTTGGGCAAGACATTTCACCCTCCTCGACTGCTTGTGTGTGTGTGTGCGTGTGTGTGTATGAGAACAACTGTGTTGTAAAGAGCCTTTGAGGGGTTGAGGGGTAAACAACAATAACAGTAATAATAATAATTATATCTTTATAAATAAAGATATTATTATTATTATAAATTATTATTTATAAAGATATAATAATTATTAATAATAATAATTGTTGTTGTTGTTGTTATTGTTATTATTATTATTAAAAATAAGAATAATAATACCTGTATTCATAAAGATAATAATAATAATAATAATAATAATAATAATATCTTTATAAATAAATATATTATTATAATTATTATTGATAATTATATCTTTATTTACAAAGATATAATAATAATAATTGTTGTTGTTGTTATTATTATGATTAAAAATATGAATGAGAATATCTTTATTTATAAAGATATTAATAATAATAATAATAATAATAATAATAATAATATCTTTATTTATAAAAAGCTGTCCATCAAAGAGCTGAACAGCAGAGTATAAAAACATCATTAAAACATCCACACAGATGCATATGCATTAAAAATAACCCACTATTAAAAGTCAATTAAAATCTGTAATAATCATAAATAATCATAAATAAGATGAGGTAAACAAGCTTTAAAAACGTCCACAGAGCATGCCTGCCTAATATGAGTGAACCTGGTATTTAATCAACAATGAAAATGTTGACAATTAGATCAAAACTTTGAATTCAGGAAAGCACACTCCTGTTAGGTGAAAGCTTAGAAAACAGACAGCAGTTGCATTTAAAAACTAACAACTGGTCATTTTTGTGTAAAGTCAGCGTTCCCTGCAGCTGGAGCTGACATCGTTGTTTTCATTCCTGCTGATAAACGTTCTGATGAATTTTTTAAGTCTAATTTTTACCGGTGCTGTCACCATCTGATGCTGGTGGCGATGACGTCCGCCCCAGGAGCCTTTGCTTGATGAAATACACAGAACTGAAAAATTCTGTCTAAATGTTTTTACCAAAACAGTCACATGTAGGTGAGTCTTATCAGTCATGCTAGCTCTGTTGTTTTTAGTTTAAGCCGAGTCTTTCCTTCCCACTGTCACCCTGTGGTTGCCGGCGATGGAATTGGTTGAAAAGCTGCAGATTTGTTCCTAACCAGATAAATCCGACAGAGTGTGTTTGAATCTGCTGCTCCTCGTCCTCACCTGGGTCATGCACACCTGTTGTCTGCACACAGCAGAAAAACCAAACCACCATCACCGCTGTGACTACCTGACCTGACCCAGATGCAGGGCTGCTTTGGAAACATTGAGATGAGATCATCGACAGTAACCTGGAGGAGTTTACAGAGAACGTCGAGCTCTAGACGTTTGGCAGAACGTGGAAAGAGCCGGACTAAAACACGTACACTGATCAATATTGATCACGTGCAATAACAATTACATGTGCTATTTGAATTGACTCTATATGCAAAGATTCTGCTCACAAAATTGACCTGCACTGAACCCACCTAATGCTGCTACCCTGTGTATATATTTGTACATATTACTGTTGATTTTACATTTAAAGTATTTTTTTGTATTCTTTTACATTTTGCATCAAAGGGAGTGGCACCACCCTAACCTTAACCCTAACCCTAACCTTAACCCTAACCCTAACCCTAACCTTAACCCTAACCCTATCCTGTACAACGACATGAAGGCTATTCTTATTCTCACTCAGCATGATCCAGGTCAGGACTGGAATGTTCTGCAGAAAGACCAACACACACTGATGAGCTGAAGATTTTTTTGTTGACCCCCCCCCCCCCCCTCCCGTGCTCCTCCTAATGCCGACTCCTTTTGCTCTCCGGGTCCAAGAGAGGAGGCTCACTCAGAAATCTTTATCCTCTGCGACTCCAGCTAAAACCCAGCATGTATGAAATCCACAATTATGATCCCTGTGTCCCAGAAAGGAGTGTTGGTGAATCCAAACATCTACAGACCGGTTGGACTCACTCCAGTAATAACAATAACGTGTCTCCAGAGACGGGTTCTCTGCCAGTCTCCTGAAGCCTATGCTGGGCTGAGAGATCAGCTGAGGATGCCTTTTATCTCCATTCCCGACTGAGACACCTAGAAAATCAAAGAAAACCCTTTCATTTAGGACACCACCATTGGTAAGTTGTCAGACCTGACACTTTTGTCCTCCAGCTGATTCTGGATTGAGTGATTCTCCCTGAACAAAATGTGGCCCCTGCATCTTTGCGGTTTTCCTGGAGGGAGAACTCGAGCTGAATGAAGATCACTCATGAATGCTCGCCACTCCACCTCAGCTGGCAGCTCCCGATGTGGAGGAGCAGCGGCTCTAGCCCAGGATGTCCAAGCTGATCTCCTTCTCCTTCATCTTTCATTCATGATCTTGAGAGACTTGAACTCCTCGACGCGAGGTAGGACCGCTCTCCCAACCCGGAGCTGGTAGTCAACATTCTTCCAGTTGACAACCTTGGTTTTGGAGATGCTGATCCTAATCCTAGTCGTGGTGATTAACAGGCTTCTGCTTGATGACCTGCTGAGTGGGTGTGAATCAAGTGTTGGAGCGGAGAAACAACTGAAACATGCAGGATAATGGACTTCCAGAACCGGACTTGTCCACCCATCCTAGTCACTCAGCTGCTAACCTAATCAGGAAGAGCCCAATATCCCAGTCCAATATCATAACGATGCAACCTTCCTGAGGCATGTGGGTGAAGGACAAGCCTGACTACATAGAAGCTGAGAGAACAAGAGCCAGCCCAGAGTCGTGGGCTTTTTGACCTCCGAAGGTCTCTCCTGGTCGCCCAATATGTCGATGGCTGCCTGGGAAGAACAACGGTGACTTTAAAGCATCATCAGAGTGCTGGAAAATAAAAAGTGGGGAAGCTGAGTCCACTGCTGTCTTTGGAAGAGGCAAAAAGCCTCATCCACTCAGCCGTGAGACCATCTCTTTGAGCTGTTACCATCTGGCAGGAGCTATGGATCTGTTACAGATTCAAGGACCGTTTGTTCCCAATCGCCATCTGTACTCTAAATAAACACCCGTCCAATACTTCTGACTGTATGTGTTCTTGTCTGAGTGTCCAGGCTACCTTTTTTTAGTTGTATTTTTTTTTTTTTTTTGCTGTTTTTCTTGGCGTGGTGCTTTTGGACCTTTGGTGTTCATCTATTGAAGTTTTAACCCCAATTCTGAGCAGGCTGAGACAGTTGGGGAAAATGTGCAAACTAAATTCAGGAGAGGGATAAAATGTGTGTGTGAGACTTCTCTGTAAATGTAAACAAGTACAAACCAAACCAAACCACTGTGTGCATCTGGAACTTGTCCCATTGTCGGAAACCGAGACAGCTTTGGGAGGAGTTGGAGACTGAATGGTGTACAAAACGAGACGTAATCAGAACCCAAAACACATTTTGACCTCATTGATCATTTAGGTTGAACTGGATTACGGAGGGAAGGTCTGAAGAGATGAAAACAAATGAAGCAGGCATCATTAAGTTTCTTTAAATCTCATTTATTTTTCTATCTTATTGGACAATCTATGAGAAAATAAAAGTCTAAAACCTTGAGGTGTTATACAGTGTTGATCTAGCAGCACACTGATGATAAATTATTACAGAATGTTAATCATCTTTATGCAACAAATAAATACACTGATGACATCATGATTTCAGCCAGTTTCTCAGTGAGAAAAGAAACAGATTAATTCCCAAACACACCAATAATTTACAGAACCACAAACAGGCCATTTTCTTTGGTGTGAGCACCCCAAACCTTCAGCTCATCTTCTCAGGCTGTTTAGAGCTCCCTGGGGATGATGGTGAAGGGTCGAATGGGGCAGGAGGCCTCCAGCTCCAGGGCTGTGAAGAAGCAATCTGAAGCCTCGCTGTGGTTCAAGGCCTGCAGAGCTTCGCCCAGGCCGCTCCACGCCTCATGGGAGGTGCTGTGCATCTGAACCGCATCTCTCAGGACCTTCTCACCAAGGTGGACTCGCCCAGTTTTCACCAGCAGATGACCCTGGACCACAGGGAAACACAAAAGCAGGTTGGATTTACATTGATAAACTACAATGTCAACCAAAGTCAGAAGTCATGCAATTAATTCACAACAGGAGCTTAAGTTTCAGTACTAGTCAGTGTGCTTGTTTGTGAGGGAGCTTTTAACATTTTGGTGTTTTAATTAAATATTTTAAAGAATCTATGTCAGGCACAATCAACTTTATAGAGATTTTGACCATGTTTTATAGTTATTTCCTCTTGAAAAACACTCCAAAGGGGTTTTTAGGTTCTCACATGCATTTTCCTGTCTCAGCTGCAAACCTTCAGCTGGTCTGCCTAGCTATTGCCAACACCTGGATATGGCATGTTTGCATCATCATATCTGGATCACCCCATCCCTGGACTGTAAACACTAACACCCGGTCTCTCTGTAGCTAGTGGGGAGGTATGGCCACAGTTGTGAGGGATTTCTTTCTTATTTAGTTTGCACTTTACTTATTGTCTAAAACCCAAAAAGTACTGCAAAGCAAGCATTTGGTTGCTTAAAGGGGGACCTAGGCAGTTTGGGCTTGCTTTTAGCACCCTCTAGTGTCCATTTGTAGACACGCTACACTGACATGTCTCCTCAGCCTTCCTCGGTGTCTACAGGAGTGATTCATTACTAATTTAAACAAATCAACTGTGTTCAAACATGCAGGAAATGTGCTGGAAGCAGACAGCGGCGCCAGGCATGTCAGCTCAATTTTCCCTAACAGAGCGGCCCGCCAGTCTGAAGTTGCAAGTGGAATATTCTGGCCACAGGGGGCGACAGGGGCTCGGTGGCCTTTCATCAGCCCTGTAAAGGGTCATTTTAGCACATACTGGCTCAAGAAAATAACTTCAAAATATGAAAAAGTTGCTAATCTCCCTTTAAGAAAACAAAATATTTCATTATGTCTAAATTAACCTGTAGATAACTGGATAAAAATGTTCTTGTTTTTTTAAGCAAAGTGCATAAAACTCACCTTAAAGACATCTAGGACTATAAATACACCTTTTATAAGCCAGGGTGGGATCAGCCGCGTGGCGGCTTCATGCATGTGTGACTCATTTGCAGACAGGAAGCAAAGAGATTAACGTTTCCTGCTCTGACCTCAGCTGGGATGCTGTGTGAGGACTGGGCTGCCAGTGAGTGCTTTGGGATAGGGAAGGGGCCCACAGCACTGTTGAGGAGAGTAAGAATGATGCAAGCTTTCACATCAGAGTCACTAAAAGTCTCCAAGAATCAGATCTTTTTCAAATGTAAGACATTCTGGGCTGTACTGACATGGTTCAGGGGTCACTTCAGGCCCTGTGGCTGTATATTTCCCACTGGTGTGTCACACTCACGCTGAACTGGCAGCCGCTTCACCACGATATCGTTCCCTCCCTCTGAGCTGGCCGGAGATCATACAGATGAGTCGTGTTATGAAGGCTGCTTTCAAGTCAGAAATTAATTGGGCTGAAATCGACATCACTATCTGTGGGGCTCTGATGCAACTTTAAATAAAAGGACGCACACTCACACATCCTCTCTTCTGCTCACTTCCTTTGCTTTTCCCGTTCCCCCACTAATGCTGTGAGGAAGAACAAGACTCAGGGATAAAGAGAGATCCTGTCAGAGGATGTGCACACAGGTTCAACAGTCCCTGTGCGAGAAAGCAAAGAAACGTGTAAACGGGATGTGTTTCTGTTCAGCTGACATCCTAAAACCACCTCAGATTTGGAGTTTATCGATTGTGGCCATCAGCTCTAACTGAAAACAACCCTAATGATCACATTTCTAACACTTCACACACTTCCAAGCAGAACCTGAGATCCAGTTCTGATGTTTGGCCACCTTGATTGGTTTAGGGCAGACTGATAAAAGTGGACGCCACCCTGGTGAGGTTTACCAGGCATGTCCAACATGGGGGAGACCCAAAGGGCCCATGGGTCACAGAGACACAGAGAGAACACCTGCACCTTGTGGGGGAGAGGGACGTCTGGGCCTCTCTGCCTGGGCTGCTGCCCCAGCGACCCGACCACTGATAAGCAGATGGATGGATGGATGGAGGAATGAAAAGTAGCTCAAAGATGGTTCAACTTGGTGGATGAATCAAGGGAAAATGTCCAAAAACAGCACTCCATGAAACTTACTCCTCTGCCCATCTCTCCTTCCATCTTACCATCACCAAGATATACTTGAACTCCTTAGTTTGAGGTACACACTCATTCCCATCCCAAAGAGAGCATTCCAGCTTTTCTGGTCCAGGATCGTGGCCCCTGACTTGGAGGTGCTTAATGCTCAGCTGTGAACCACGCAGGTGCACGCTGAAGCTCATTTGAAGATGCCAAAAGAACGGCGTCATCTGCTAAAACGGAGATGTGACCCAGAGGTTCAGAACTTCTACATGGGCACACAATCTTAAGCCTTCATCAGGACTGGAGAGCTAAACTTCCATGACCCCATTAGCAACTCTGCAAGGGTGAACTTGTCTCCAGATCCCTTACCAAGATGGAAGCTAAACTTCTGAATGAACTTCAACCATTTCAGGCTGAAACTCCTCCACCACTGGGCTGTGGTTATGGTGTTTACGAAGAAGAGTCCAACAAATCTGAAACTCAAACTGTCAGTAAGAATCTGAGAAAAACAACAAGCAAAAAAACCTTAAAGAATAAAAAAAAAGCTTTGGTTTAATTTGGCCTTGGCGTTACTCAGCTGCCTGTTGACGGAGTCCGATCACTCGTGGCACGTTTACTGTCCACTTCTGATCCAAAGACAGTCTGAGCAGAGTCTAAAAGCCAACGTGGTTCAAACAGAAACAGGAAATAATAAAATGAAAGGCTGATACTGGAGTCATGAAAGAGGAGACCGGCTCCGAGGGAGCAGGAATGAGCTAAACGAGGGAGATGAAGGAAAACACAGAGGCTTAAAAAACAAGATAATAAGAGCTCAGATGAACTATTTATAGTAAAGATGGACCAGTGGACTCCCAGTTGTCTCAGGGGTTGTGTCCCCCCCCCCCCCCCCGGCCATTTTCATCTTTCACACGGTCTTCTTGCCCCTCTTCTCTTTGTTATGGTTATCAGAGGGTTTTTTTCTGGGTTGCTAGGCAATCCCATAAAGTGGCAAATACAGCCAAAGTGTTATAAATAACATATTTGCATTATCTAATCAGCTGACAGCCACCCCCACTCACAGGGAGAGAGAGAGAGAGAGAGAGAGAGAGAGAGAGAGAGAGAGAGAGAGAGAGAGAGAGAGAGAGAGAGAGAGAGAGAGAGGGAGAGAGAGAGACGGACGAGCATTTGATAATTGGAACGCAATTAATTCAATGAGCACAAGTCCTGGTCCAGAGAGTATGCATATGTGAGCCTGTGTGAAAGTGTCTTTGTAGGAAAGGATGTAAAAGTAGATGTGTGTGTGTGTGTGTGTGTGTGTGTGTGTGTGTGTGTGTGACTCATAACAGGCTCCTCTACAGAATAAGAGAGAGGAGATGTGGGGGATGCTGACAGTGGGTCAGATTCATTGAATTCTGTAGCTGGAAGCAAAGCAGGGCCTTGTTTCAGGATCAGCTAGTCATCAGAAATCCTCCATCACACACACACACACACACACACACACACACACACACACACACACACACACACACACACACACACGCACACGTGCACACACTCGCACGCACACACACACACACATGCACACGCACATGCACGCACGCACGCACACACACACACGCACACGTGCACACACTCGCGCACACACACACACACGCACGCACACGCACGCACACACACACACACACACACACACACACACACACACACACACACACACACACACACACACACACACACACACACACACACACACACACACACACACACACACACACACACACACACACACACACAGGCTGAGAGCACATCTGTCCTGTAAGGGAGAAAGGGCTCTGCCAGCTGGCTTTGTTTCAGCCCTTCGCCCCCTGGGATCGGTTTTTCTACAGACCAAAAATGGAAGAGACGCATTCCTCCGTCCACCCCGGGGACAAAACATCCACACAGACACGCAAATTCATTCAAAACTGCACAGTGGGAGCAAAGGCATTAGCCTTATGTGGTCACAAGATGGCTTCAAGTCAAAGAGATATCAACAGCACGTAACCATGGAGACTGAAGCTTTAAGTGTTAATGCGTGTGTGTGTGTGTGTGTGTGTGTGTGTGTGTGTGTGTGTGTGTGTTAGCATGTGCTGTAGGCTAATCTGGCCTTGGTTTGATGAGCGTCCCAGTCCAGTCCCTTCTGTGTGACAAGTGGGTTCAAAGGTCAGAGGAGCTGTGGTTAATTTGGGGGATCCTCTGAAGAACAGCCAGAGAGACGGCGGACAGAGAGTGGGCAGACGTGGGCGAGAGAGAATCTTTAACACGTGGTGGAGACGAGCAGAGAGAGAAGTGGCTGGAGCGATCACGGGAGAAACAGTCGCTCTTTAACCACCACAATTATTGGTTGTTTGTTTTTCAACGTCTAAATCTAAAAACAGCAAAAAGAGTCTCATTAGGCATGAGAGAACCGAGATGTGATGGCTGAGACAGGAACTGGACCAGGAAGAAAAAATAACTCGTTTTTCAGGCTTCCCAGGAGTAGACATCCCAGGTTGTTCACCCCAAGGTCAGGGAAAACCGTCAAACCCCCAGAGAGCTTCATCTCAGGGTCTACAGGCTTCGATTATCAGGTTCAAGTTCACGAGAGGACAGTCAGAGAAGAAGACGTTTGTCTTGTTTGGAAGGCACTTTGATAAAACTACACAATCCGTGGGACAGTGGTTTACCCATCATGCACCACTCCATGGGTATATAAATGCTTGCCTCTGACTGGCGAGCAGCAAAGCGACTCTTGTGCTGCTTTCGTTAGCTTTTCTTTCTTGGATGAAAAATGCAACTTTAATGTTTTCTGTCCACAAATACCACAAACCTGAATGTGTTCCGCTACGTGGTGGGAATGCTAATGCTAATGAATAGCTTCTACTAGCCAAGAGGCTCTCTCCTCTCTGTTTTCCGGGGGCGGTCCAGAGCCAAGGTGGGCGGATCCAAGAATACAAATTTTCCCTGGGGCATAGAAGAGACTGGCCTTTTCTGACCTGACCATTTTGACTACCTTTCTGCGGCTGATGACAGAGATAGGGGTGCAAAAACATTTTCACGTTAAGCATGCATGTGCAACTCTGACCGTATTTCAAAAAGAACAAGTACTACACGGTTTCACAATGAACCAGACCTTTGTGAGAAAGCTATAAACAGAATAAAATGTCAGTCTCTGAGTAGGTAACAAACATGCACCAAGTCATCACAGGAAATGCGAAGTGGGCGTGCAGTTATAAAAGTGTGTGCACACACTCAGCCTGCACATTACATCAGTTCAAATTGAATAGACTTGAGTAAAGTACTTAATGCATCAGTGTAGCCATGCATGTTGCCTGTGTGTCTGCGTGTGGACTCTAACCACTGTGCTTCTGTGTGAGACGCTAACTGGAGCAGTGTTATGTAAGTTTTAATTCAATTCTGCAGCCTGTAGATGTTTTACGGTCTCTCACCATGTGCAACAGTATGCGCTCTCCTGCGGGATGAATAGCCAGGGCCTCGTCATACAAGCTCTTGGCTTCGTTCATTTGTCCCCGGAGCTCAGCCAGCCGGCCCCGCTGCAGCAGCACACAATGAGAGTTGGGGAACAGCAAGCCAGCCTCGGCGATGCAGAACTGTGCCTCCTTCAGCCGACCGTCCGCCATGAACAGCTCTCCTTCAGGAAGAGAGAACATGAGGATGAGAGAGAGGAGAACAGAGCTGACTAGAGAAGACATGCTTTAAAATCATGTAAGGAAAGGATCGAAGGAATACAGTCTCACCAGAGTATGGCGTTTTTTTTAGGCATAGAATTTATCACATGGAATTTTTATTCAATGAAATGATGTATTTGAATATTTTTAACTTAAAGTGACAGTGTGTATTTTCCCTGGAGATGGGGGCCAGTACATAACTAAATCCTTCAACCAATCAGTATTTTGTGTTTGACCGTACCAACGGACGGCCATTAGGGTCAAAAATCCTTCAAAGCTCAATTTTTCATTTATTTTGTTTTACTTTTTGTTTTGGTAAGGTCTATTCAGGGGTTCCGGAGAGGAAGGTCTGTCGGATTGTTGAACCTCGGATTCAGGAGAAGCAATGTGGGTTTTGTCCTGGTCATGGAACACTGGACCAGCTCTATACCCTTAGGAGGATCTTGGAGGGTGTGTGGGAGTTTGCCTTTTGGGGGAGTTTGTTAGCCTGGCAAGCCAGACTAAATAAATGTATTATTTAGTCTGGCCACGCTCCATTGACGGCTCTCCGTTGTGGGGCGGGTTCTACCGTTGTCTTTCAAATGATCTCCGCATTTCACTGGACAATGAATGTGACATACTCTTGTTTCACTCTGTTGCATCATCCCACCCACCAGGCATATAGAGTGCCCTGATTGGCCCACAAAGCGGATAAAGCTCTGTGATTTTTTCACTAAGCAGATAGAGCACTATGATTGGCCCACCATTATGGACCAATCACAGCTCTTTATGTGTTTGAAACCCCTCTAGAGAGCTGTGATTGGCTAGCCAGAGTCCTGGTAGGAGCTGCTGAGGTTCCAATGGAGCATGCCTAGACCAAACTTTGCAAAGCAAGAATTTGGTCTAGTTCACTAGGCTAGGAGTTTGTGGATTTGGAGAAGGTGTTTGACCCCCCCCCCCCCCCCCCCCCCCCCCCCCCGGGGGGCCCTTTGGGGGGTAATTTGGGAGCATGGGTACCAGGCCCTCTGATACGGGCTGTTAAGTCCCTGTATGACCAGTGTCAGAGCTTGGTCCGTATGGCAGTAAGTCAGGCTCATTTTCTCAAGCCTTGGTGGAGTTGGACTCCACCAAGGCTGCCCTTTGTCACCGTCTACTTTTATGGACAGGATTTCTAGGCGCAGCCAAGGTGTTGAGGGGATCAGTTTTGGTGGCCTGAGGACTGAATCTCTGCTTTTTACAGATGATGTGGTCCTGTTGGCTTCATCAGAACATGATCTGCAGCTCTCACTGGAGCAGTTCACAGCCGAGTGTGAAGCAGCTGGGATGAGAATCAGCTCCTCTAAATACGAGACCATGGTCTTGATTCGGAAAAGGGTAGAATGCCTTCTCCAGATCAGGGATGAGGTCCTGCCTCAGCTGGAGGAGTTTAATGCCCTTTTCAGACAGACATTCTGGAACATTTGCGGACAATTCAATCCGGTTTTTAACCGGAACTGTGTTTTCAGACACACCACTTTTGTACCGGAACTTGTCTTTTCGGCTGCGTTCACACAGCAGGGAAAAGTTCCAGATGTGTGACGGCGGCGGGGGTGGGGGGGTAGAATCGGACCCATGTAAAGAAGAAGAAGAAGAAAATATCATTTCTATAGCGCCTCTCAAGATAAAAATCACGAGGCGCTTAAGCATAATTCTGCGCACACGAAGACGCATAAGAGACCTGGATGATGAAGCTCAATGGTTAAAGGAATCACGGAAGCGGTGTGAAGCGCTCCGTCGCGCGTCTAGACGGTACCGTAGGAGGCGAGCTGCCGTGGTTCGCCGCATGCTACAGCAGCGAGCTATCTGGGTGCGCACAGCGTCCCCCGGTCCCCTCCTCCTCCCCCTCCCCCTTGTCCGGAACTTTACCTCACCAGTCTGAAGCAGCCACCCTGTCCGTAACAAATCCGGACCTGTTACTAGGGGCTTCGTCCGGATAAATTCCGGAACAAGTTATCCGGATGTTTGTATTCAGACAGAAAGGTCTTACGGACAGATTCTGGAACATTTCCGTTTTTCATGGCCTGTCTGAAGGGGGCTTAAGTGTCTCGGTGGTCCTTTTTCATGAGTGAGGGAAAGATGAAGCACAAGATCGATAGGCGGATCGGTGCTGCATCTGCAGTGATGCGGGCGTTGTATTGGTCTGTTGTGGTGAACAGAGAGCTGAGTCAGAAGGCGAAGCTCTCGATTTACCGGTCGATCTACGTTCCTACCCTCACCTATGGTCATGAGCTTTGGGTAGTGACCAAAAGAACAAGATCGCGGATACAAGTGGTCAAAATTAGTTTTCTCTGCAGGGTGGCTGGGCTCTCCCTTAGAGATAGGGTGAGAAGCTCGGTCATCTGGGAGGGGCTCAGAGTAAACCCATAGCTCCTCCACGTCCAGATGAGCAAGTTGTGATGGCTCGGGCATCTGGTAAGGATGCCTCATGGACGCCTCCCTGGTGAGGTTTTCCAGGCGCGTCCAACTGGGAGGAGACCTAAAGGAAGACCCAGAATTTGGTGGAGGGACTTTGTTTTTCAGCTGGCCAGGAAACGCCTTTGGATTCCCCCGAAAGGAGCTGGCCCAAGTGGCTGGGGAGAGGGAAGTCTGGGCCTCTCTACTTAGGCTACTGCCCCTGCGACCCCAGATAAGCGGCCCAAAATGGATGGATGGATGGATGGATGGATGGATGGTGTGTGTGTGTGTGTGTGTGTGTGTGTACTTTTCTTTATATGTTTAAGTGGACAAGTTTTAACTTTAACCTGTACTGTGTGAACATGTTTACATTGTTGGGACATTTAGCTGGTCCACACAATGCTAAGGACACCACAACTTGGTTTTAGAGGTTTGGTGTGAAATAACTTTTAGTTTAGGTTAGGGTTAGGAACAGAATCCCATTGGTTAAGGTTTTAGTACGGGTTAGGTATAGTGGAGTCACTAAAACGATTGGAAGTCAATGGAGGTCCACACAAACATATAAATACATGTGTGTGTGTGTGTGTGTGTGTGTGTGTGTGTGTGTGTGAGTGTGTGTGTGTGTTTGTGTGTGTACTTGAAACACAAAGGTAGAAAGATTGAATGAATTGTGCAAATATATAAAAAGCACCATCTGCTTCTGAGTACAAAGAACCCATGTGTGTTTGGTAAGGAATGTTTCGTCTGTTTACTCGTGTCTCCCATGTGCACAGATGGGAATTGTACGCTAAGTGTGTGAATGCTACCGCTGTGAGATGTGAGAAAGCTTTTTCTCCCAGCCTCTGGGTTCTTTTGCGTAACTTCATTTTGGGGTGAATGGATTTGGTTATGTAAGGTAGGTTCCTGCTCCTCACCTGAAAACGACTAGATTTCTGCTTGCATAAACAATCGACTTTTTAAAAAGAAATCTGTGTATCGCTCAATGAAAGGTACGTGCATGTGAGTGTTGTCTTTCTTGTGACTTGTATGGATGTAAAATTGAGCAAGAAAGAGACAAAACTTAAACTTTACTTGAACATGCATCATATATTTTTGAGTGTGTCATGCTTTATTGTTGTTTTTAGGAAAGCCTGCCAGTCAGCCAACCTGAAACTGCATGAGTGAAAGTTACAAATGATATTCTCATGGTCTCAGATAAGAATCTTGTGTCTGTTCTAGTCTTGTTAGATCTCAGTGCTGCTTTTGACACAGTAGATCTGTCAGAACCCAAGTCCCCAAGCCAGCCTCTCCCAGCTAGCCGATCTCCACCATGGACCACATCTCCCAGCATACCCCTTGCGGGGATTCCCTCCACGTCACACCTACGTCACTAACCGCAACTATATACGGAAGTCGCCTCCCCAGCTCACCACTCAGTCATCGTTTCTTCAGATCCATGATCAGAATTTCCAATCAACCGATCCATCTTACAAACTATCCGCTCACAGTAAGTGTTCTTACTTACTTCTGGAAAACCCAGCATCTCCATGTCACTTCATTGACGCTCGAACGCTCGGGGATTCCTAGAATAAATCGTGAGCCGGCGTTTCACCAACGCTATCACTTCCGCGTCTGTGAAACCACGCTCTATACAAGCTCAACTCCCGAATCCAGCCGACCAGTCTGACAGGATGACTGAGTCTCTTAACCCAGCGGAGTTTGAGCGAATGAAGAATGAGATTGTTCAGCTTCACGCCTTGGTCGACTGGCTCAACACCAAGGTGAACTCTCTGACCGACCTCACCCTTCAATTATCCACATCCATCAATGCTCTTCAGCAGCAAGCCCTCGCTCCACCTAAGGAGGAGCCGCAGTTCAGCCTACCGGAGAGGTGGAACGGAGAGGTTGGGAGCCCAGATCGTCTGCTCGCCTCCCTCGACATGCAATTCGAGTGCCAACCAGGATGCTTCCCCACTGCCCGCTCTCGGGTTGCGCACCTCACCTCCCTGCTTTCTGGACGCGCTCAGGAGTGGGCCGCTGCTCTCTATAATTCTAAATCCCCTGCCTGCAATGACTATGCTGCTTTTGTGGCCGCCCTCAGGAAGACCTTTGTTCCACCCAGAAGTGAAGTGGGGGCTGAAGCACGTCTCCTCAAGCTCCGCCAACGGGAGTGCTCGGTGTGCGCCTATGCGTCCGAGTTTCGCACCATCGCGGCCAAACTACAATGGGATGACTCTGCCCTTCGGGCTCTCTTCTTGGAGGGGTTGGTGCCCTACATCCGAAACGAGATGGCAGGAAAAGAACTGCCCCAGACCCTGGATGAAGTTGCCGACCTGGTGCTGCGCATTGACCACCGGGTTCTGGTTCGACCCAGGTCCTCCACTCGCCCACTCAGTGCTCCTGGACCTCTTCCTCGTTCACCAACGCCAGCTCCGCCTGCCCGCTTCCTCGACGGGGAGCCCATCTACACCGTCTGACACGTCCTGGGCGCCCGTCGCAGAGGCCGGGGATGGCAATACCTCATAGACTGGGCGGACTACGGCCCCGAGGAACGCTCCTGGGAACCGGCCAGCTCCATCCTGGACCCTACCCTTATCTCTGACTTCTGGGACCGCCGGGGCCGCCCTGGGACTTCAGGAGCCGTCCCTGGCCGGTGGGTCCTGTCAGAACCCAAGTCCCCAAGCCAGCCTCTCCCAGCTAGCCGATCTCCACCATGGACCACATCTCCCAGCATGCCCCTCGCGGGGATTCCCTCCACGTCACACCTATGTCACTAGCCGCGACTATATACGGAAGTCGCCTCCCGAGCTCACCACTCAGTCATTGTTTCTTAAGATCCATGATCAGAGTTTCCAATCAACCGATCCATCTTACGAACTATCCACTCACAGTAAGTGTTCTTACTTACTTCTGGAAAACCCAGCATTTCCGTGTCACTTCATTGACGCTCGAACGCTCGGGGATTCCTAGAATAAATTGTGAGCCGGCGTTTCACCGACGCTATCACTTCCGCGTCTGTGAAACCACGCTCTCTACAAGCTCAACTCCCGAATCCAGCCAACCAGTCTGACAAGATCACAATGTTCTTGTAGAAAGTCTTGAACATGTTGTAGGGATCAAAGAAACAGTGTTAGGCTGGTTTAAATCCTACCTGTTGGATAGATATCATTTTGTAAACGTACATGACAAATCTTCTTCATACTCCAGGGTTACTTGTGGAGTACCACAGGGTTCAGTGCTTGGACCAATTCTTTTTACTATATATATGCTCCCATTTGGTAAAACCATTAGACAGCAAGAGATAAAATTCCACTGTTATGCTGACGATACTCAGTTATATCTATCCATTAACGCTGATGAACCTAATTGGTTAGGTAGATTACAGGCTTGTCTTGAAGACATAAAAAATTGGATGACTCTAAACTTTCTGCTTTTAAATCAAGACAAGACTGAAGTTCTCATCATAGGACCTGAAATTCAGAAAAGGAAATTGCTTAGTCAATCACCTGACCTGAATGGCATTAAATTAGTCTCCGAGAACCTTTCCAGGAGTGATGCTGAAAAACTAGTTCATACATTTATTACATCAAGACTGGATTACTGTAATTCATTACTTTCAGGAAGTCCACAGAATGTAGTTAAAAGTCTTCAGCTTGTCCAAAATGCTGCAGCTAGAGTTCTGATGAGAAATAAAAAGAGAGATCATATCTCTCCTGTCTTAGCTTTCCTACATTGGCTACCTGTTAAATTCAGAATAGATTTTAAGATCCTTCTTCTCACATATAAAGCTCTTAATAATCAAGCTCCATCATACATCAGTGATCTGATTGTTCCATATGTTCCTAACCGAGCACTTCACTCTCAGACTGCAGGTTTACTGGTGGTTCCCAGAATATCTAAAAATAGGATGGGAGGCAGATCTTTTAGTTATCAGGCTCCTCTTTTGTGGAACCAACTCCCAGCTTTAGTCCGTGAGGCAGACACCTTGTCTACTTTTAAGAATAGGCTTAAAACATTTTTATTTGATAGGGCCTATGGTTAAAATCTGATGTTAGCCTAGATCTGGACAAGTGGGGGAGTAGAGGGAGATGGAGTGTACAGTCAGTAAAGACGGCTCTCCCTTGCCCTGCCTCCAACATGCCTCCATCTAAAAGGCTAGGTTATCCAGAGTTATCTCTGTAGTTATGCTGCTATAGGCTTAGACTGCTGGAGGACGAAATGACCACTTTCCACACTCGACAACTTTCTTCTACAATCTGCTCTCTAACTGTATTACTTCCTGCTATTTCAGCTGTTAACTTTATTTTTTCTCTAAGTGTTTTTCTCCCCAGAAGAAGCTACAATGATGTTCTGCTGAGCTGTGGTGGCCTCATGGAGGGGGTCATTGTCTTGAACACTGCTTCTAACCACTTAAACATTCTCACTCTCCTGATAATAACATTTTACTTTCTTTAACATTGAATGTGCTGCTACTAGTTTACCCATTTAATTATGGATTCACTAGGATAAATACAATAAAGTTTATCTTTCACCAAATAGAAAATTTACTAAGAAATCACTATGTAACCATAGAAACACTACTTGGTATATATGTTGTGTTTGTGTGTGTGTGTGTGTGTGTGTGTGTGTGTGTGTGTGTGTGTGTGTGTGTGTGTGTGTGTGTGTGTGTGTGTGTGTGTGTGTGTGTGTGTGTGTGTGTGTGTGTGTGTGTGTGTGTGTGTGTGTGTGTGTGTGTGTGTGTGTGTGTGTCTGCTCTGTCTTCTCCATCCCCAGTGAGTCGTGGTGGATGGCTGCTTATACTGAGCCAGGATTCTCTGGAGGTTTCTTCCTGTTAAAAGGGAGTTTTCCTCTCCACTGTTGCTATATGCTTGCTTAGTATGTAAAGTCACTGACACTAGTCAGTGACTCGATGCAATTTGCTGGGTTCCTTATATAGGAAACTTATTTTTTTCTGATTTGCTTAATGAACTGACCTGTACTGGAATGTTTATTATGTGAAGTGCCTTGAGACGATGCTTGTCGTGATTTGGCGCTATATAAATAAACTTGAATTGAATTTAATTGAAATGAACCAACCTACCAACCAACCAACCAACCAACCAACAAACCAGCCAACCAATCAACCACTGTAGCATCTATCCTTAACTTCCTTTTCAGACTTAAAGGATTGGACATTGTAGTTGAGACCTGCAGGAGCTCTTGGAATTGATCTTAGGTAAAGAAGACATTACATTTCTAAAGTTTCTACCTGACATGTTTTACAAACAGGGTAAATTGGTCATTAGATCTAATCATACCGGATTGCAACCAGATGCTTTCCAAAGTGGTCCAGATGTAGGAAGGCCCTTGGCGGCGAGAAGAACTGACCTCTGACACCTCAGAGAACGCCGCCTCCAGACGAGATGCTGCCACTGAGGGGGGAGAAAGGGAACCTAATGTGGAGAAAAAACACGAGTTCACGCCATCACTGAAATTCATGATCACATAAAAAAAAAACAATAAAAATGAAATTAGGGTTTAATACAACAATACAGAACGGGCTTTGAAGGAGTCACCTGCTGCTTTTCATGCCAGAGTTTTAAACTAAAATCTTTAAAATAATAGAAATGTGCTGATCTGTGAACATCACATTTCTGCTCCATGTATGTAAAATAATACAAATATGTGTCGGCTAAGGTTCATAAGCTTTGTCAGCCATCCTGAATCGAGTTGACTCCAAAAGTTAATTAGTTGTAGATGAAAAACCTTCTGAGATTTTCACTAAAAATGAAAGTGGTTCATGAGATATTTGTTAGTAAAATATTAAACTAACTAATAAAAAGCAAAGTTGAGTCATGTAGAGAACAGCAAACACTCTTCTAATTTTCCAAATATTAGGAAATTTCCTGTGTTTGGAAATCATGAAAAATAAATGATATTCAAACAGAAAACATCCTCTTCAGAACAGGGTTACAAAAGGTTAAAGAGGGGTTTATTCCAGGATATAGCCTGACCCATGGCGGTTTGTTAATCTGAATTCAAACAGTATAGATTCTGTTGACAGGATGTGAAGAACAGACCAATGGAGGCGTCCTGGAAGTCGGGCAGGTTGAGATGAATGGAGGCTTTCCTGACTACTGGGCTGACTTCTAACTTCTCAGCTGCTGGTAGGCTGCTGCTGTCATCTGTGTCACTAGAGCATAAAAACAGATCAACAAGCGCAAGATTTAGGGTGTTTCTCAATGCCAAGGAACCTTGCCTTGATGTCTCGGCCCGGCCCTGGTTGCCCAGGAGATACGTCATCGAGAGCCGCCAAGGCGTGTTCCAGTGTTCATGTTCAACCGAGGCGTGCGATCTCCATTTGTTAGCCATTTAGCTAGCTGTGCAAGGATACACGGGAGGTGTCTTGTAGCCTAGCCTTGGTCAAAAATTACCCAGAATACACTGCAGTATTTTCAAAAGGATGGCGGATCAGAAGCTGGCAGCTCAAGTTTAAAAGTAAGTCAACTAATTTAAAATGTATTTTTTTTTAGATCCAACGAAGTTATCTATGGTTGGTTAGTTGCTTATTAGTTGCAGCTTCGGTGGCTAGCGGGTAGCAACTCACTTATATATTTAATTTAATAAACATATACACAATTTACAAAGTAAAAGGCTTGTTATATATTTATATTGAAACTAATACCTATAAAATATAATGTTATCTCCCGTGTCACGTGACGTTACGTGACCACAGTGGAAGCCGCAGACACGTGATGTAACCCCGGGTTTCCACGGGAGCCGTCAGCAGCACGTTACTGCAGCAGCACGTCTTGCTCGCGTAAGCTGCTGCTTGGCCCTTCCCACGAGACGTGAAGCAGCAGGGGAGCAGCTGTCACCGACAGAGCACGAAGTCACACGAGTGACTTCATCAATAAACACAACAACAAGCAGGAGAAAACTACAACATGGTTTGTGTTTTATGTTCTGTCCGTTTTATAATCGCCAATACGGACCTGAAAAACAAAGGAGACCGCTAGCTAGGTGATAACTTCTCACGGGGACGCACAGTTAGTAACATTTTTTAAAAGTAAAGCAACCGGAAGGCAGTACGTCCTTTATTCTGAAAATCTCGGTAGCTTCTCTCCATTTCCGCGTCCGATTTCCTGTCTTTCCTTCCCCAAAAATGTCGAACTTGACCCGTTTCAGAGGCGTCGCTCGTAGAAAATAGAACCGGCGCGTAAAGGCCGCGACATGCTGCTCCTGAGACGCGGCCGACTCGCGCTGCTGACGGCTGCCGACGGCTCCAGTGGAAAAGGTTCTGTTGACCACAGCGGTTCCTATCAGCAGCTATGACGTGCTGCTGCAGTAACGTGCTGCTGACGGCTCCCGTGGAAAGCCGAGGTAAGTCTGTTCCATTTAACCGTTTCCTTTGACCAAGGACGGACAGTGTCCTCTTAAGGCCAGGCGCCTTGACATTGAGAAACACCCTTAGATTTTCTCTCCAAGAATTACAGTTAGCTCCTGTTAGCCTAGCGTGCTACCTGAAGCAAATATTCATCATAAAGTCAATATTTCAAAACAAACATCGCGGGCCATCAGAAAATATTGTCTCACTACGATTACAAACACAGAAAAGGTTCTATGGGTTTGTCAAAGCAACACTAATGAGTTTTTTATTAACCATTTTAAATGATTGCTTTGAAACTGGTTTCTGTGGTTATTCACTCATGAACCTGAACAACTTCACATTTGACTTCCCTCTGCTGACCAGAAACTACACTTAACGGTTTTGTGGGATGGGTGGATTGGGGTGGTGGGTGGGTCTCTGCCTGCTTCGAGGCTGGTTCTGCGGTGGGGCGAGGGGGGGGGGCATTGCCCCCTCAGGTAAGGTTCATTCCCCCTCCAACAGATTTGGGTCAAATTTACACACTTGAATTTCACACAGAATAACTGATTATAGAGGTATATCTTGTTAGTCATTGAATATTTCTACATCAGCTCTTAAATTAATGGATAAAACTCCCTGCTATTTTTACTGCATTACCATCTCCACCATCTCAGTTATGGCGCCAGCCCTCCCAACCTCCCATTAAATATGTCATCGACATTTTTCTGACCTGTTTGCTTTAGTTGGTTGGTTCAGTAATGATAATGTTACATTTGCTGCCAACAAAAATGAATGAAAACTAATTTATTTTATTTCCAACATTTACAAAATGACAAAGCATGCTGGGAAATCCATTGATCCAATCAAGTTTATTTGTTATCATAAACGTCATCACTGACCAACTATCTAGTTTACCTGTTTTTAGTGGAGAAAAGCTGATGAGCGTTTTAGTTCTGCGCAAATGTTTGGGTGGCAAAAAAATAATTAAAGAATGACGCGAGTGTGTGCAACTGCAGCTGCATCTTCAGCGGTTCTGGTTCGTCTGACCCAGTCGAATTCAATTCAGTAAACTCCACAAAACTTCTCAGAAAAAAAAAACCTCTCGGAAAATTCCCTCTTGAGAACGATGGAACATGGAAGCTGGATTTCCCCTCAGCCATTAACAGGTTTGAGTTAAAATCTAATTTGGTGAGTTTAGTCTCTGCTGATGGTCAGGTTGTGGCTCCTGTGTGTATGTGTGTGTGTGTGTGTGTGTGTGTGTGTGCAAATGCACTTAAGGGCTTACATGGTAATTTCGTGTTCTGTAAAAAAATAAAATAAAATCACTTCCTTCTTCGTTTATCGGCCAATAAACAAAGAAGGAAGTGTCGCCGCCAACAGTGGCAAAGCTCTGTGGAAGGCTACGGTGTTAGCCAAAACGTCAGCGAAACGAGGTAAAAAATAACTCTTTTGCTGTGTTAAAAAAGAACCGAGTACTATAGTTGGATGAAACACACAGAACGAATGTACAAAACACGTTGTAAGCAATAATATTTTGCCCAACTGTGTGGATTTTTGTTCTTTGTGGCTTATTCGGTATTAGCTGGCTCGTGTTAGCATTAGCTTGTCGTTAGCTCTAGCTATAGCAAGCTGTGGCAGTGTTGTTTACAATTACTTGTTGTAATTCTGCTTTCAACCAGTAGGAAGCACAAGCAGGGAAATTATGTACGACTTTAACCCGACTTTAAGAGTGGATCAGCTTCCAGGCTGCTGAATGCAGCTGCACCAAACAGGTGGCTTTGAATTCATTACCCTTTTTATCCCTGTTACATAAGCAGGGGCAAATCCCCAGTATTAAAGGTATTAAATTCAGTAACGCCGATTGGCCAATTAATATTTTATTCCCCCTAGCAGCCACACATGATTTGCTGCTTAGAAGCACTTGATGCGGTCCTGGTTCTGATCTGCTCGTTGTAAACATAACTCCTCCTCAAAAGAAAAAGTGTGACCCTCCCCCCTGCTGAGCTGATTACGCCATGATTTGTAGAAAGAACTTCAGCCTGATGTTGACTAAAACCTCTGATTTGTCAAATACACTTGAAATGATGTTAACTTTTACCAGTTTTTTGCTAAAGCCCTTTGTTGCTTGGAAGTATTCAGTCGTGTGCACACTCACCTGGGGCGGCTGAAATCATAGCAGCTTTGCCAGCGATGCAGCATGTCCTCGCAGGTCTGAAGGGCTGCAGCGGGGCCGAACAAAGCCTCTTCAAGCTTCACCTTTGTCAACAGCAGACTTAAACAACAAACACGTTATTTTAACGCTCCCACATCCACCCTTATTCACAGTAAGCAGCACTGTTGACAACCTGAAGGCAGAACTGAGGGAACTTGTTTCTAAGCTTTGAAACAAACAATTAAACCCGCTCATGTTGTCTTGGACAAAATTAGGGAGAAACACATAAACTAAAAAACATCTTTGGGTAAATTATTGTAACACAATAATGATTAGATGTTTAATTGGCAGATTTCCTTCTCTAGAAGATACCGAACCAGAGCAACATAAAGACAACCCCCATGCATCTGGGCCCTGAGCTATTTGCCCTTAGCCGATCACACACACTCTCCAACTCAGGTCTGTGACTACCTCCCCATGCTGTCTTGTTACTATGGAAGTGAACTATGCAGATTTTCCAAACTGTTTATATTTTAAATCCACCCAAAACTAAAATGATCCACATCACTGTAGTCAGTGCATTGGGCCCAGGGTTATTATTAGAGGTGTGGCTGCGAGGTCTGAGGATGATCTCAGCACCCAGCGACTGAGGAAGAGGAGGGTTTAAAACAGGAAGTAGGACAGGTACGTTCTGCAGGTGCAGATGGAGGTTAATTAATCTCCTATCTTGGAATCACTTTGTCTCTCAACCCTTTCATTATAAACATAGTTAAAATCCTCCTCCTTGAACCGTCATCTTATCGTGGTGGAGGAGTTTGAGTGCCCTAATGATCCTAGGAGCTATGTTGTCTGGGGCACTTAGTGCCCCTGGTAGGGTCTCCCATGACAAATTGGTCTTAGGTGAAGGGTGAGACAAAGAATGGTTCGAAGGATCTTTCATGGCGGTTAAAACGAAGAGTCGGAGTACCCGGCCCGGAGGGTTACCGGGGTCCCACCCTGGAGCCAGGCCTGGGGTTGGGGCCCGTGAGCGAGCGCCTGGTGGCCGGGCTTTCGCCCATGGGGCCCGGCCGGGCCCAGCCCGAACCGGATACATGGGCTCGTCCAACTGTGGACCCACCACCCGCAGGAGGAACATGAAGGGTCCGGTGCAATGCGAATCGGGTGGCAGACCAAGGCGGGAGCCTTGGCGGTCCAATCCCCGGACAAGAAAACTAGTTTTTGGGACATGGAACGTCACCTCGCTGGCGGGGAAGGAGCCGGAGCTTGTGGCAGAGGTTGAGCGGTACCGGCTAGATATAGTCGGACTCACCTCGACACATTGCATTGGCTCTGGAACCCGAGACCTGGAGAGGGGTTGGACACTCTACTTTGCTGGAGTTGCTCCGGGTGAGAGGCGGAGGGCTGGGGTTGGCTTTTAGTTAGCCCCGAGACTCTCTGCCTGTGTGTTGGGGTTTACCCCGGGGGACAAGAGGGTAGCTTCCTTGCGCCTTCGGGTCGGGGAACGGGTCCTGACTGTTGTTTGTGCTTATGGGCCAAATATCAGTTCAGAGTACCCACCCTTTTTGGAGTCCCTGGGACGAGTGCTAGATAGTGCTCCATCAGGGGACTCCATTGTCCTGCTGGGGGACTTCAATGCTCACGTGGGCAATGACAGCTTGACCTGGAGGGGTGTGATTGGGAGGAACGGCCCACCTAATCTGAACTCGAGCGGTGTTTTGTTATTGGACTTCTGTGCAAGCCGCAGTTTGGCCATAACGAACACCATGTTCGAACATAAGGATGCCCACCGGTACACTTGGTACCAGGGCAGCCTAGGTCACAGGTTGATGATAGATTTTGTAGTCGTATCATCTGACCTGCGGCCGTATGTTTTGGACACTCGAGTGAAGAGAGGGGCGGAGCTGTCAACTGATCACCACCTGGTGGTGAGTTGGATCAGATGGCAAGGGAACATGCCGCGTAGACCTGGCAGACCCAAACGCATAGTGAGGGTCTGCTGGGAACGCCTGGCAGAAGAACCTGTCAAGTTGGTCTTCAACTCCCACCTCCGGCAGAGCTTTGACCACGTCCCGAGAGCAGTGGGGGACATTGAGTCCGAGTGGGCCTTGTTCCACTCTGCAATTGTCGAGGCGGCTGTTGCTAGCTGTGGTCGTAAGGTGGCCGGTGCCAGTCGTGGTGGCAACCCCCGTACCCGCTGGTGGACACCAGAGGTTCGGGGAGCCGTCAGGCTGAAGAAGGAGGCCTACAGGGCGTGGCTGGTCTGTGGGTCTCCGGAGGCAGCAGACAGGTACCGGATAGCCAAGCGGGGTGCAGCAGTGGCAGTTGCCGAGGCAAAATCTCGGGCGTGGGAGGAGTTTGGTGAGGCCATGGAGAAAGACTATCGATCGGCTCCAAAGAGGTTCTGGCAAACTGTCCGGCGCCTCAGGAGAGGAAGGCAGCAACTCGCTCACACTGTTTACAGTGGGGATGGGGAGCTGCTGACGTCAACTGAGGCTATAGTCGGACGGTGGAAGGAATACTTTGAGGAGCTCCTCAATCCCACCAATGCGCATTCCGAGGAGGAACCAGAGCTGGGAGGCCTGGGGATGGACTGTCCGATCTCGGGGGCAGAAGTTGCTGAGGTAGTCAAACAACTACACAGCGGCGGAGCCCCGGGGGCGGATGAGGTTCGTCCTGGGTATCTCAAGGCTATGGATGTTGTAGGGCTGTCATGGTTGACACGTCTCTACAACATTGCGTGGTCATCGGGGGCAGTTCCTAGGGAGTGGCAGACCGGGGTGGTGGTCCCCATCTTTAAGAAGGGTGACCTGAGGGTGTGTTCCAACTATAGGGGGATCACACTCCTCAGCCTCCCTGGAAAGGTCTACGCCAAGGTACTGGAGAGGAGGGTCCGATCGATAGTTGAATCTCAGATAGAGGAGGAGCAATGTGGTTTTCGTCCTGGCCGTGGAACTGTGGACCAGCTCTATACCCTTGCAAGGGTGATGGAGGGGGCATGGGAGTTTGCCCAACCAATCCACATGTGCTTTGTGGATTTGGAGAAGGCTTATGACCGTGTCCCCAGGGGCACCCTGTGGGGGACGCTCCAGGAGTACGGGGTGGGTGGCTTTCTGTTAAGGGCCATTCAGTCCCTTTACCAGAGGAGCGTGAGTTTGGTCTGCATAGTCGGTAGTAAGTCGGACCTGTTCCCAGTGAGGGTTGGACTCCGCCAGGGCTGCCCTTTGTCACCGGTTCTGTTCATCACTTTTATGGACAGAATTTCTAGATGCAGCCGTGGTGTGGAGTGTGTCGAGTTTGGTGGCAGGAGAATCTCGTCTCTGCTTTTTGCGGATGATGTGGTCCTCCTAGCTTCATCCAGCTCTGACCTTCAGCTCTTGCTGGGTAGGTTCGCGGCCGAATGTGAAGCGGCTGGGATGAGGATCAGCACCTCCAAATCTGAGACCATGGTTCTCGACCGGAAAAGGGTGGCTTGCCACCTCCGGGTCGGGGGAGAGGTCCTACCTCAAGTGGAGGAGTTTAAGTATCTCGGGGTCTTGTTCACGAGTGAGGGTAGGAGGGATCGGGAGATCGACAGGCGGATTGGTTCGGCGTCTGCAGTGATGCGGACGCTGAGCCGATCTGTCGTGGGGAAGAGGGAGCGGAGCCAGAAAGCCAGGCTCTCGATTTACCGGTCGATCTACGTCCCAATCCTCACCTATGGTCATGAGCTTTGGGTAATGACCGAAAGAACGAGATCGCGGATACAAGCGGCCAAAATGAGTTTCCTCCGTAGGGTGGCCGGGCTCAGCCTTAGAGATAGGGTGAGGAGCTCGGACATTCGGGAGGGACTCGGAGTAGAACCGCTGCTCCTCCGGATCAAAAGGAGCCAGTTGAGGTGGTTTGGGCATCTGGTCAGGATGCCTCCTGGACGCCTCCCCGGGGAGGTGTTTCGGGCATGTCCTGCCGGCAGAAGGCCCCCGGGTCGACCTAGGACACGTTGGAGAGGTTACATCTCCAATCTGGTCCGGGAACGCCTTGGGGTCCTGCCGGAGGAGCTGGTGGACAAGGCCGGGGAGAGGACGGCCTGGAGCTCCCTAATTGGGATGCTGCCCCCGCGACCCGGACCCGGATAAGCGGAGGAAGACGAAGACGAAGACATAGTTAAAATCTAAGAAGAGCGTGGATCAGGTGTGTAAACGATGAGAAGATGCTAACCCTAACCCAAAATCCTGGGAATTCATAGTTTTTTTAATGTTGGATCTGAACAGGAAACACAAGAACTTCCAGATTGTTCCGCTCTGATCTTGTTTTTTAAAAATTCTTTAGTGGTTCCTGAAAGTGCTGTTTTGGTGCGAACGCAAGGCTGCCAATCTAAAAATAAGCTTTGTGTGAATTCACAAAGCGCTTTCCCCGAAAAACATTGCAGGTGTGACTTTAAAGGGTCCCTCACCTTGAAGGGGTGGACGAGTACAGGCTGCTGAGTGTTTCCGCGTTGCCTTCTTTAGCTGAAGACGACGACGGTTGGTTAAGTGAAAAGGGTCTCTGACGTATTGTGTGCGTGTGTGTGTGTGTGTGTGTGCCTGCGTGTGTGTTATGCCAGAAATAAGCCATGAGAGTGTAACAGAATGAAATGACTGTTTTCCACCTAAAAGTCATTTTCCCCCTCTCCTCAGCAAGAACTAATCTGCATGAGATATCGCCTCAAGGTCTCATGCATTTGCTTCTAAACTGCTTCCTTTCCAGCCCAAGAGAAGAATGAAGACAAAGGACTCTTTCTTTTTAATAAATCAAAGAACTCTATTTTTAACAAAGCTAATCAAACAAAGTGTTAGTCAATAATAAGATGTTGACCAATCTGTGAAATGACAATGTTCTGATTGGTAAGTTTAATGAGTAATATGACTTTAGTCTAGCTGCACTAGACATCCTGATCACACGTAATGTAAACACATGACACATTGCTTTGACTCATCCAATGGGAACCTTCCTTTCTGAAGCGTGGCATAGTCTCTGTGGTGTTTATAAATCTGCCCAACATTGAATTGGACCATAAATCAAAACATCCAGATTAATAAAACCAGTCACACGCCATTTTAGATCAGTTCACCGCATTCTAAGAGAAGTATCGGACCGGCCACCCG